ACCAAATGATTTATAGCTGAAATTAAGAGATGTCAAACTAATGAGTAACATTATTTTTGTTTCACCACAATTCAGTTAAAAATTAGTACATAAATCCAGTTAAATATTTCATTATTTTGTTACATCTTAGTTAATTATCAATTCATAGACAGTAAGTGTTTAGCAAGGAAAGCTTCATACAGCATTTTTTAGTAAGCTTTCTTATGAACATGTTTTTCAACAATAATAGAAGAATAATGTACTTAATATAAATTGGCAAAGTAAATGCATATTATTGTGTAGTCAAAGTTTATCTAGCGCATCCAATTTTGATTCAAATTCAATGTCTGTTTTGATGAAGAAGAATAGAATTGTTTACTTTTTCACTTATACTATTTATGTTTAATAGTGCATAAAAGAGACAAAGGATTTTCGTTTACCCGTCTTGCCAGCGTGGTATAGTAGGCCAAAACCTCCTTTTTAAGGAGAGGCCAATGTCCAGCAGTTGACTATTAAAGGCTGTTGATGTGATGATGTAATGTGATGTTTATGCATGCTGCAAAACATGTGTAGTAGTTCTAACTGGTTAGCTGAAGGAGAATAAAACTAGGACTACATATTTCAGTGTGCAAAAAGTTAATTAAGATTATCATTTTCTCCACTGAATATTTTGGTAAGCCTTATAACTGTGGTGCAATTTCAGCAAAGACATGGAGCAAGAGTCCACTAGCTACTCACACAGCTACATTTTTACAAAACATGCAAAAATGTTACTAAGGAGCTACCAAATCGCTAGTAATTTTTAATTTAATGCATTTTTGTTCTTAATAAATATGTGTTTAACATATTAACGGGTATTTTATAGGAAAAATATATATTTAAACCAAGATGTGATAGCATAAATCTATTAAAAATAGTAGTGGACAAGCCATGAACTAGGATAATTTGAGTAACTGAAGTTAATAATTTGATCCAATTTATTTAATTTGATATATTTAAATGCCACACAAAGAAATAATTCATAATTTTTTTTTCAATGAAGAGAATGTGACCACAATTTAAATGAATTTACATTTTATATAATGATGCATCTGCAGGTCTGTCAGTGAAAATACAACAGAATCTTCTAATTTTTCTTTCACAGGGAAGTAAGGACTTCTTGCCAATAAAAAGTTTTCCTACTGTTCAAACTCATACAGATTAAAATAATGATTATTTTCCTTGACAATAAATTGTCATAAACCCTATACCAACCTATCTGGCCAGTGTGGTATAGTAGGCCAAAACCTCCTTTCTGAGGAGAGGCTATGTCCAGCAGTGGACTATTAAAGGCTGTTGATTAGATAGATTAGCTAATATATATTTATTCCAAGTAAAATTTTTCAGTGTTCTAGAATCACATACCATAAACAATCTCCAGATTTAGTCATAAAATATTAATAATAAAAATATTGTAGAATAAAAAAAACTAACCATTTCTTTGGAGTAGCCCTCCTAATGAATTATCACCGTCCATTTCAATAACTGCTTTTTATCACAATTCTGTATTACTTGTGTGGCGAGTCACCGGTTAGATTGCTAAAAATAACACTAAAATTAATGTCTACACAGTAAACAAGCCTTGAAATCAATTTTAGGCACCTTAGTTGATATCAAATCATTAAAGTTAAATCGCGTGCAGCGACACGAATTGACGCAATATTTGTATGAATGAATTTCATGAATTCATAACGAACGTTTTGTAGTACAATGTTGGTAGATACTTCATTAAAAGCCTACATTTCATATTTAATATCATGCAATTTCATAATAATAGGATAACAAAATAAAATATAGAGCTAGGTTTACTTCTATACATATAAAAAACCTACCGGTAAATACGATAACGAGTACTAAACTTCCTTCACAATATCATGTCTCCGTAAATATGTGGATAATAAATCCTTCACTTGTGCACTACCCTAAAAAGGGATCGACTTTACAAAAAGACTCGGAGATATTATAATGAGATTAGCGAATCAAATAACACAAAATAAACGACCGTCCGCCACCACAAAACATACAACGTGTGGCAGAAAGAACACAGACAGAGTTCTTTGAGCTAGAATTGCCCATAGAGTAACCTGGCTAAGCAGCTTTCCCCGAACACTCGCTGTGCTTTTTGTGTGTAAACATTAGGTAAATATTTGATATTATATGTATAATAAAATTACTTGTTATGGCTGTAGTTGCGTTCCTGCTTTTTTTTTTTTAAATTTGTAATATTGTGGGTTCAATCGACATTTATCACAGTGTCCCTCAAGACCCCTATAAAACACAAAGTATGTTATTTTATTATGTCAATCAATAGTTGCCCTTTCAGGACAGTGTGTAAATCAAGTTCCTAAAATATAATATGGTGGGACAATAAAAAACAACTAACCACTCAAAAAAATACATCTATGTGAAATAAACAATTCCTTAGAATATTCTAATACGAGATATTCTTATCCGGCTTACACTTGTAGCGAGATAAAAAGCTCGCTACCTTCGTTAACACTTCCGATGACTTTCACCATATCTTCTAATCAGACTACTCCAAACTGCCTTTAGTACCTATGAATTCTTTCAGTTCGTGTGTTTTAATAATTTGCTGATAAGATAACGTACCATACGATAACGATGTCAATCAAACTAAAATTATCTATTTATTTGTGCCAACAGTTGTAAGGTGCAACAAAAGAAAGGTACTATAAGAAGAAGATAGACGAAGTTAAGAAGATGATAATATATATAGGAAGCAACATATTTATATAATAATAATAAAGGTAGCACTGAATAAGGGCAGACCTATGTGTCAAACTGAGATAGCGATTCACAAAATAAAAAGCGTATGAAATATAAAATCGTGAATAGTGTGTTAGTCTCTTTTATTAAAAAAATTGATGATTAACAAAAAAAAAATTTTAGCACGAGACTTATGTTTTTGAAATTTTGAGTTTTTAAACCATACAAACCAACTTAACATTTATCTATACATAAATATATATAATAAAAAGGACTGGACTAATTGAGATCTTTTGGCCGCTATAATATTGTTTTTATCTATTTTTCGATTTTTTCGCGTGAATTTTGTACCTCGTTTGTCAACAATTCAACCACGCAATGCAACCATGGTCTATTTAGCATGACCATTCGTCGTCAAAATTGGGAATATGATTTCGGATTGCTCCGCTTATGACGCCGTACAAATCCGCATGTATGTCAATTACTACCAAGACTTAACTTCTTTGCGATCAGGTTTTTTATGACATAGTTAAGGAGCAAAAATACCTACAAATCAAGAGGCACTGATGTTTTGGCGGTTTCGTGTTGTACTCTCTTTTCTAGTAGGTATAAAAGTTGTATCGAAAATTCCAAATGCGACAATTTTATAAAAAGTGCACAGTGGTGGAATGCCAAGTATCTAAGTGATGAAGATAGAAATTTTGTCGCATTGGACGCTGCGGCCGGTACATACGAATCTAAAAAATCCGTCGTAGTAGTTTCCATAATACAAACAATAAAAACTCTATGCAACGCCAAGGGGTCAAGCGGATCTGAAATATCCTGAGAATCAACAATGCAGGTTTTGTCAGTGCATTCCTAAACATAACAAACAATATGTTAGAACAATGCAGTAGGTATACACTATTACAATTAGTAACAGTCTTGTAATCTGCAGCTTTCTTGATTGTTGACAAATAGTTCATTTGTTTTCTCGGCTTGATAGTGATTCAATACGCGCATGCCATGTGACTGCATGGGTCACATCCATCGGCACGCCTAGACAGCTAAAGCAATCGCAGTGCAAACCTTATAAAAGATGAAAAGTTTTAAGTAGTGGATTTGGTTTGTTACCATAAGCTACTAATAGCCTTTTGTAAATTGAGGGTCAGCCGACAATCTGATGACGTAATCAATAATTGCTATTAAAAGTATAGATAGTTACTTTACCTATACATCTGGGTCCATCAAAGTTAATCATTTTTAAATAAATTAAATTGAATTGCTCTTACACCTATGAAATTAATTTATTCAAGAGAGAGTATTCGAGAAAACGAAAGTGTCAAAAGCCAGTAGTTCAATGAAAATAAGTGGCCTCTTTTTTTTGCCATAACAAAACACACATTTTATTGCTATTTGTATTTTTAATTCGACACACGACCACCAGGTGCAGTAACTAAGCTTCACTTTTTGCCAAATTATTAATTAATTTCAAGTAACTTTTTATGCACCTGATTTTATATTTTTGGTATCTGAGTATACATTGTGATTAAAAATTAAAACCTCATTTGATTGACCACGGACATTCATGTTATAATATGTAGGAGACTCAGACGAAAACAAAGTCACTTTTCACTCTCACTTTAAGGCTTTTAGGATCTATAGTTTGTACTTAAGGGTTCATAAGTCAATTCAGTAAAATATGAAAATGCTATTTGCCCTGTATTAAAATGTTACCTGATGTCAACCGGTAATTAAAATTTTAAATACATATTTTTTCGGATTTAAACAATGTCCTGTAATTCCCGAACGCCGTGTAATTTTTTCTAGTACATTCTATGATTTTCCGAACGTATCTTCCAATTTGACATTTTGTTAACCGTCGCGTTCCAAACCTTAATCGGAAATAATATAATATCTAGCATTATGTTATCTGTTTATGAAGACTCTATTGCTCAAAACGCCGTTCACTCATGCTAAAGATATGTATCAAATCCGATTGCAGAATTTTTATTGATATTAAAAAACAGCTGTCGTTGGTGTGTTGTTTGTTGCGCAATTATAAAAATATTACATTTCATTAACCAAAACAAACAGTTACATCTGAACACTGTCTACAAAAATCATCCAGTTCTAGAAATGCCTCATATCAATTTCATGGAGCAAATCCGCTCATTTTTTGGATTACAATCTAATCCGCCCAAAACGATTTTCGAAATCCAATTTGGAGTTCCGACGATGAAGATGACGGGGATGAATTGTATACGAGACATCAAATGGAAGTGTTTGATGATGCCGTGGACTTACATCATGAAGTCAAGAAACAAATGCATGATTTTTTTAAAAACTTTGGATCGATGTTTGGAGAGTTCACTTCATTGTTTCATGAAGATCACATTGACGCCTTCACCAGCATGTCTCCTCTAGATGACCCAGAATCCGAAAATATCTCTGGAAATAACATAAGAGATTACTATTTAAAACCTGGATACCAGACCAATGTTCAAGAGCACCCTCAAAAGGACATTGATTTAGATGGAAAAATATCATCAAATGAAATATCAGGGATGCTTAAACATAAGAATGATTTACATAGCCCAGGAGCTGTTACTCCATTTAACGGCGACTTGATTCCCGGCAGGTCCTTTTGTCAGACAATTATCACAACGAGTGTGACTAAAGCAGATGGTACAGTTGAAACCAGGAGGATTATCAAGAAAGGCAACAAGGTGATTGATGAAGTCACAACTACTACTGGACCAGAGACCCGAGGGCCGTATTCACCAGGTTTGGATTTAATTTCAAGTACAGGGCTTATCTACAACCATGTCATTTCGGAACTGTCATCATTCTTTAGAAATTTTCACTAAACTAATTAACCATTTTTTATAGTTACATTAAAACACATGTAGACAATTTTGTGAGGATGTTAGCTTAAGATATTATATTGATGTATTCCCTTTTCCTCTATAGGACAAGATTGAAATTTATCTATAGCAATTGATCACCGCTGTAGAGGAAGAAATGAATAACTGGTCACAACATAGAAAAAACATAATTCCTATACCTGTGGAAGACAGAGGTTTTTATTAGTCTATGATCTTATGTTTCTCGAACTATTTAAAATAGGAACATAGCAGAGTAGTTCAACATACTAAGAGTATTTAGTTTTGACAATATTATTAAGTGCTTGACTTTTTTTATTTGGTCTTTTTGCTAACTGGGAAGAAATAAAACACTTACATTGGTATTGATTCTTCATGCAGATATGAGAAAAAAAAAAAAAAAAAAAATTGGTACATTTTTGTCAATACTACTTGTCAGTCAGTCAGTATGGTTAGAGTTATCAAACTAAACAATTTTTCTGCATCATTTTAAAGTCAATTTTAGAATTTATTACAAAACCAGTTTAATTTATTTACAGTAACAAACCCAAGGGTCATTAAAATTAAAATCAAAAAAAAAATGTAAAAAAATTATTAGCAGTTGTAAACTTTAATGGAATATGTGGTAACATTGTATAAATGTCTTACAGAAAATATGTATTATGAATATAAATTATGAATTATGAATAAGAAAATGATTTGGCGGGAAAGTTTCTAGCAATCTAGTTATTTATTTCTACCTCTACACTGGTGATTAGTAATTTTCCTAGACTTTAATAACTATAGCCAAAAATTTAGTATGCTCAATCACATAAACATTACATGTATCTGCTTATATCTGATTATTAATACCTTTAATCAATATTTGTCGTTTTGGTATTAAATTAAAGTAGGAAACCATTTTGCTGTTAGTATTAATATAATAACCTTACCTGTTTGGAATTTTATCATAATATATACTTTAAAGAAAAATTGTATTTTTATTTGAAAGTATGGATCCTATAACAGACGGACACCATTCTAGTGAAACTATAGAGTTTTATATATAAAAAGGACATTCAGTAAATAATAAGTAGGTACTCTCTTCAACATTAAAGTGGCAGCCTAACACACTACAACAAGGTTATTAAAAATATTAAGGTTATTAACATCATAAACCTGCACTGTATTGTTCACTGGAATAATGTAAATGCATATTAGAAGTTTAACATATAATTAGTAAGGAATATTTTATAATTCATTTCAATTACAATTCATACACTATTTAAGTTAGGCGTTTCACGACATACAATATTACCTAGAGAAAAAACCCGATTATTGGGTATTACCTGACGTTTCGGCTAGGTTAGACGGCCCGTGGTCCTCTCCTCTCCCTCTCCAACCTTACGCCCTCTATCGTCGAGCCTGAGGTAGAATATTCTCCATACACCCGTACATTTTCTATATGTACCGTCATCTATTGCACATCTTCCGAAGTGTCCCTATTCTGACGTTTATCCTACTGCACGGAAAAGCGATTTGGCATGTTTTTTTGTGACTGAATGCCACGATGTAGGTAAATTAGGTACGTCAGGCAATTCAAAGGTGTACCTATTAATTGCGTTAATTCTCGAAGTAATTATAGTAAACAGTTTATTAACTTTAAATATTTGTTGTAAATCGTTGACCAATATACATTGGATTATCATTGTATTGTTTCTTCGTTCTAGGACAAGTCAACATCACACACACATCATTAAACTTTTAAGATTTCTTTACTTCTACATATAAAAAACCTTCAGCATTCACGTCAAAATAATTTGCTTAAAAAGGTTCCTATAAATTATTATGTTTAGTAGTATTTACATTATACAGGATTGGACTATATATATTTGCATTATTCTGAACTTTCTAAATAAAGAAACAAGATCTTATTTCATAGAAGCACTTTCTTAGACGACGTAGTATTAAAAACTATACAACATAGCTCGTTACAATGAGATTACCTAATGGTTTAGTCACATATATTGTTGTACTAGTATGGTGTCCTAAAAATTATGGTTTTAAGAGGTACACAGTCTGATAAGATCCAAAACATTACATAGGTGTGTATGATCCAGTAGTCATTCACTAGCAGTAGAACTAAAAAAACGTATATCATATTTATGTAGTGGCAATAAATTTTAGGATGTGTAAACTAATACATAGTTATAATTATGTGTTCCTCAGTTCATACATTAACAAAATTTACTTCAAGGTATGTGGCAAAAAGAATTCAGTGTTTTTAAAGAAGAGTACACATATTCCCTGTTTGTCTTTTTTAGCATAGGCAAGCGGCCTTCTGGTATATCATCATCATCAAAGTAATTGTTTAACCAGAATCTGGCAGCGCTTTCCTCCCACATTTTTTGCAGACATTTTAGTGATCGATCGAAATCAATGTGGAATTTATGTTATTAGATATTCGAACATCTGATATCACTTTTCTTATTCATTGAACTTTGCGACGCGACTGAATGCGACCTCTCCGCATTTTTTTTAGTTCTTAACATAAGTATGCGCTTACTGCATTCCATAAGTGGTCCTGAGTTCGATTGCCTTACGGAGACTAGGTTGTTACGGGGCTTTTTCTGTTAGATTTTTTTTTAAATTAAACACACATTGTATGTAAATGTGCTCAAAAAATTGCAATAGGCACTATTACGTAGGATTAGAAAAACTACTTAATGTAATTAAATAGGTATTATTAAAAATAAAACCGCGTCTTACCTTTCGTAATATTTTTTAATAAATACTATTCTTATACAAAACATAGAGAGCCATAATAAATAGCAATCGTGATATGACAAAATTAAATACAATGTCTTCGGGCCCGACTAACTTGCTTCGAAAAGCAGATCCATTCTTTGATTGACAAAGTTATATTCATTAAATATTTATGGGAAAATCAGTAAATGATGTAACTTAATATATTATATTAAAAAATCACCCTCATGCGAGTGAAAACAACTATATATTCAGTCCTAAAAACGATTGTAAAAATAGTCCATCACTTGTAAGACAACAAAATAAATCAGCCTTTTTGCCATATCATTTTTGCAAGTGTGTCCTTAACTGATTGTCTACATTTAGTCGCAGTAGCAGGCGTCCGCCGTATTGCTCTTGATCCACGTCAGGTACCGGTTCACCCTCGAGTACACACCGTACTTTAAAGGTTGCGCGCATCCTTCACCCCAAGACACCACACCTGAAATAATAGTGATCATTATGACTTTTGGTACTTTGGAAACGATTACAGATTTTAAAACCATCCCTAACAAAAAGTGTGTAAGCAGTTGGGAAAAAAAATACTTTTGAACGTTCGGACATAAGTATTCTGAGCCATCATATAGTAAATTGTTTTTTTTTTCAGAAAGTCTTGGAATGGATAAATTGTCAACGGATAAAGATAACACTTTCTTTTAACCAAAAGGAAGCAATGGTTTAGAGTACACGAATATCTGTACCTTTAAGTAATTTTACGAAGAGGGTGCTCCGCTACCAAAAGGATATGTTGCATGGATTGATAGAAGGCATAACTTGTATAGAAAATATAATACGTAGCTAATAGGAAATAAAAGATGACCGTTTCAATGACATAGTTTGAAATTAGAAATGACAATAAAATAATACTTCCAGGAACACGTTTTCTTTTACTATTTAGCGACATGTTTTTAAATGATAGTAAAACTTTTAAGGCTTGCAACTTTAATACTATTCGTCAGCTGAAACTTATCCAGCATATAATGGAAGACCAGCGCATTTTTGGGGGTAATAGTGGTGGTAGGTGTCTAACGTTGAAAACAAATTATGCTATTTACTCTACTTAATTTTATGTTACTCTCTGTCACTCCGTCTTTTCTATTCTGTAAGACTATTACTACTAGTGTAATCGGCTGTCTAATCCTAAACTAGGAGAAACCTGTATGGTAACCAGACTGCTGATAAACATACATGCATATCTTTACATAGTGTAAAATAAAGTTGCTTTTCTTTCTTTGTACGCTTAGATTTATTAAACTATGAAACGGATTTTAATGCGGTTTTCACGAATAGAGAGAGTGATTGAAAAGAAAGGTTTATATGTATAATACATGCATATTATAGTAGAGAAAATCCGAGAATTACAAAGTTTTGTCGTAAAAATCATGTTTTTGTGCGCTCACATTGCAAACGCTGGCTAAATCTCACCAGATAGACCAAAATAATATACTACGGAGCTGTATATCTTAAAAAGGTCTACAAAATGTCTATCTCCTAAGAATAATCCACAGCAACCATTTTTATCTTTCAAATCATACAAAAAAATAATAGGCTATCTACCGCCCGGTACTGGGAACGACAACGCGTACCTACTTCTTTTGCTCTCGCACGTAATTTCTCACAAGTGGTGTATTAAGTGTACAGTGTAGTAATCGGCTTCTTAATCCGTCTACTAATAGCGAGAATATCAAATAATTTTAATTCCACCACAACGGCCACCAAGCAACTGAATTCAATATTCAATACTGAGGAGCATGAGTCATCGTCAACCGCCACAGCGAACTCCAACAACTTATTGAGGACATCGACTCGGCAAACTCCGCTCACACCCCGGCGCCTGATCGACTGCGCTCGGCTGTGCTTCTATGCAACGCGCTATACAGTGCACCATATCACTCCAGTGACAACTAAATAATACAATGTAAACAACGATAAGACGCATCAACATGCCGATTCACCTCCCCGCAAAAGTAAGCCTGTAGCGTCTACGTCACAAGAAGCTCCCGTGTCTACTGACTCACAACTTATTTCTTATGAGACTAATGTAATAAAAAGCAGCGACTAACCGGCGCGTAGTGATTGTAAGCCACTGAATATTTCTAAACGTACCAAGCGGAAGTGCTCTGATTTAGGGAACGAACAGCATAGCCATCTCTCTACTCAGACGCCTGAAGCGGATCGTAGGGCCCCTTCGTAGGCCCTTCGGGGCAGGAAGGGAACATCCGGGTTCCCACACAGGAGGGGTCATCTATAAGCCGTAGATGGCCCGAGGTACGTCGGGGTACTAGGGCTTTCCTTTCTAGGGTATACCAGGTTCAGTAGCCGGCTACTGGTACCTGGAGACGGCGTGCGGTTTTTGGTCGGTTCGAGTCCGACATAATCACCCACTGGTGGGTGGTATTCGAGGGGAGTTCCGCACAGACAAAAAAAGGGGGCTATCGTACAATCTCGTTTGAGGCGGCGACGGTCCTGGCGCGATATCCACCCTTCGACATTCTCGCCGAAATGGACGCGATGGTCTATACCAAGTTCGCTCTGTCAGTCGAAATCCAGGGCATTTTTTTTGTACGTATTGGGTCCGAGTGGAAGTTATCCTCCGGGCCCTCTCCGCCGCCTCCTTCTGCGAGATAACGCCTTCGCAGAAGGATGCGACCGCGGTGAAACATCTGTCACTACCGACCATGTAGCATATGACGGCCGGTAGCGAGAGATCCCCTCCGATGACTGCAATGAGGACCCGGCGCTGCGGCGCCCAAGCCGGGAAAATTGCAAGCGTGTGCTGAGCCAAGTCTTCACTGCAATCGCAGTGGTGACGTGTGAGTGATCGAAATTCAGGGCTGTCCTAATCAACGCGCCGTCGGAGTCGCCATGCTGAGCTTCGAAGCGTGGGTAGGGAGGAACAACTCTTCCCCCGTATTTTAAACCAAACCAATTATTTATCCTAGGTGGAAATGCCACCTACAATCTCTGGCTCATCCGTCGGAATTACTAACCACTACACCAACCACGCCCATCAAAGTATTGAAAATCCCTGACTTATAATCCCTGAGAGTTCCCTTGTGTATAATTGAATTGAACAATCCAGAATAAAGTAGGAAAATAAAATAGCTTTACTAACCCACTTCATAGTATCGCCCACTGGTTTCGTTGAATACGTGGAGAGGACCGCCGGAGTCTCCCTGACAAGCATCACGTCCTCCCTCTGGTTCACCCGCACATAACATGTTTTCAGTCACTCTTTGTCCATATGACCTGACGCGGCACTCTTCGTTTGATACTATCGGGACTTTCACCTGGAAATAACAAACCAATAAAAAACGTTTAATTCTAAAAGGAATAAACGCATTGGTCCCAGTTCCCAGATCTGTTCCAAAAATGTTTATTAAACATGAGTTAATGGTCCAAATCCAAATGTTATTGAATGAGTTATAAAAACTGATCAAATTATCCCCTGCCTAAGAAACTTTGTAGACCATACATACGTCATTGGGAATACAACACTACGCACACATCAGTCACCTCCACAGAGTATGTATATGTAATTTGGCGCATAGTGCAACATTAGATACTAAGGACTATATAACCAAGGTATTCTGTAGTACTTGTACAATTGTTTTTTAACATCGAAATCCTACCTACCTCTTGTAATGTATTCGAAATAGAGCCTCCTTGTTCTGTAACACCCCAACCTATTACCAAGCCGCAGTCTCCTGTGAAGGATAGCCCCGGGGCAGGCAGGCACACAGGCCGCACAGTGATATTATCATCTTCTTCAGTTGTAGGAGCCGCTGTCGTGGTTTGTGCCTCGGCGTCTATTGAACTTGTTGCTTCTGTTGAACTTGTTGTTTCTGTAGAACCCTCCGCTGCTGTATAAGCTTCTGTGGATGCTTCTTCTTTGTAACTGCGAGCATGCTTCTTTATTGCGTTACTTAGGTCTATCTGCAATTTCAATAAATTAATATTTACATAGCATATAGAAGGTAAGTTTTTGTTAAATCTTATCGACGTTAAGTAATTATGCGTTATTATTGTTACTGGACTAAAACTATGTCATTTCATTTGGTCATTACAATTATAATAACCTGACACACCGTGTGCTCTCTAATTAAGCAGAGCTTTACTTTGGTATCCAGACTGCTCATAAACATACTAAAATATTTATTTATTCATTTAATTTGGATCACCACCAAGGAATACACCTTACAAGCTACATATATTAGGCTTACAATAATATCGAGTTGTGATTCCTTAATTACAGGAGACCACATCATGCCAAACATTATACAAACATCCTTTTTTGGGTTGATATAGGGTTTGTTTCAAGTTTTCCTTCTTTTTGCAGTGCTGTTGTTCTGCAGAGTTTGCTTCCTTAGTCGGCTCTTACGATACCCACGGGATGAGTAGTGGTGGTGACACTCTGTATTCTTAATCCGTCACCACACATATACGTATTTATAATACATACATGTTATAGATTTACACCAACAATTGATCCAGATGAATTGACACAGAACAAATGATTGTGCTCATTGCTTGCATGCATGAAGTCATTAGTAGTTTACTCATCATCATCATCAACATCAACAGCCTTTACTAGTCCACTGCTGGACAGAGGCCTCTCCTTAGGAAGGAGGTTTTGGCCTACTATACCTACCACGCTGGCCAGACGGGTTGGTATAGGGTTTGTGTCAAGTTTTCCTTCTTTTTGCAGTGCTGGTGTCCTGCGTTGTTTTGCGCCCTTAGTCGGCTCTTACGACACCCACATAGTTTACTGGTATAACAAAAATAAAATATTGGTTACCCTTTCATTGAGCTTCAGAAGAGCGATGTCGTTGTCATAAGTACCCGCGTTGTATCTCGTGTGACGCATGACCTTGACAACTTTCCTGTCTATCACCTTTGTGTCGTTAAAACGGTTTGTGAAGTCATGCTCCAGGAGACGCACTGTCATGCGTTCTTTGCGGAACCTACCAAAGAAATAACACGAGATATGTATTAGGATATTTTATACATTTTAAAAACTATGGTATCTAAAATTGCAATTCTGCACACCCATAGTTGATTTATAAAGACAAAGAAATCATACAATATTCGAAACTTCAAGTTCATAATTATTATTTTAACAAATTTAATGATTAAGAAACAGTATTGTAAATATATAGAAAAAGGTTTTACTGCGGAATTAGGCAATACATGAAATATAATAAAATAATTAACTCGCTCACAACCGCCATTAAGTATAAGATCTTTGAATTTCGTTATTCATAGTTTCCATGTTCAAAATTAAAAGTATATTTGGAAACGCGAAAGTTTAAAACTTAACATATATTTTATTACCCTAAGTCCAAAAAACTATAAGCACTCGATCAGGATAAACCTATTCATAAACGTGTTTAAAATTCAATTCCACATTTAACTGTAAACTAGGGAAATTAACTTAATACTAACGCCGTACCTATTTCAAGATTCACTAACTGTCCAACGCTGCCAGCAACGGTAGTCAAGATCAAAAACACTATTTAGTAGACTTGCAACGAATAGTATATTCGGCAGTATACCGAATACCGAATATTCGGCGAGGCCCCTGACCGAATAGCCGAATATTAGGCAAAAGTATTCGGCTGGATTTTAGCGCCAAAAACTTGTACAGACGTGAATTAAATTATTTACCTGTTTTATGTACCAATGACTACTTAATAAATGATTATAAAAGAAATGAGAACCTTACCCTTCTAAATTTTGATTACCACAATAATTCAAATACATAGAATCCTCCATTTTTCCAATTCAGAAGATGATTATGTACCAGTGTTATGCACCAATGACTACTTAAATGATTATAACAGAAATAAAAATATGAATATATACGTAATCAATCGTTTTTAATTTTTCATTTTACCAATTATTTCTCAATGACAAAATATATTATTTAAGTATTCGGTATTCGGCCGAATAATATGTAGATATTCGGTATTCGGCCGAATATAATAAAAGCAGCCGAATAGGCCGAATACCGAATAGTAACCGAATATTCGTTGCAAGTCTACTATTTAGTGCCCAGTAATCTGTCATTGAGTACAGTTTGGTGCCAACTTGAGCTTGTGAATACATACATAAATTGGAATATATGCATGACATTTTACTATCTCGCCTATTCTAGCTTAACTACAAGCCTTACATTGTATTTGCTTATAGTTGGCTGCGTGCCACCCAGTTTGATTGCAATTTGATGCTTCGAATTATAATTAATCATAAACCGTGGGAGAGCGTGAACCTTCGGAACACGTGGACCAGGTCAAGCAGAGTAATGCGATGCTAAACAATTCTATCGTTGCTTTGAGTTGAGTAAACCTAGTTTACCTGAAGCCCGCTCTCCCCCAACCCCCTCAACCTAATTCCGGGGCAAAAAAAAGCACCTAAAGGGGTGCAACGCACTTGACTAGCTTGCAGGTGTCCGAAACACTGACCAGTCTTCTCGCTTGGCCCCTAGTCCATAAAAAAACAGTAACGACTTACCCTGTACAGTGAGAGGCAGTCATCACATACATATCGTTGATGAGGGATCCGCCACAGAACATCCGGCCGTTATACAATAACATCACCATCCATGGATACTGCCTCACATTAGTTTCGGCGCCTCCCACTATACGCCGTTTGTTGCGGGCGATACCACATTCTGAAAATAGAACCAGAGTTCTATCTTATAAAGTAACTTATTGAATAGCCTAGTACATAAATGTATCGAGTGACGTGTGTTCAGCTCCTATGTAGAAGTAAGTGGATCTAGTGTAGGAGAAATGCTTCAGCACAAATGGGCCTGCTCGACCGGAGTGATACCATAGTGACTTACCATGGCCCTAAAAACGTTTGTAGGTATTTATTAAATTATTTCGTTTGTGTTGCGTTTGTCCAGCGTGGTATAGTAGGCCAAAACCTACTTTCTGAGGAGTACTACTTTCTAAGGCCTATGTCCAGTAGTGGACTATTAAAGAGTGTTAATGCTGATTATGGTGAAGTCTTTTCCGTAAACAAAGTTAAAGAAAACTGTGCGAGTACAGTGTAGGGTCTGGGTAGGCCTTTTGAAGAAAGGATGATAGTTTTGAGTTAGCCTATCCATACAGACGGCATACGGGCCTCAGCCATCGTGTAGCCTAACCGATACTAGTCATAGATATATATATATACAACCCGAAGCGCAGGACATTTGTGTAGGCCGAGGAAACACTCAAAACCACCAGAAAGTTCCTAAATATGAATTAATATTACAAACCTACACTATACTCACATTTACATACATACACAAAAAAATATTCATACAATTCAAGATTGGAAACAAACAAAATACAACAATACATTAAATGTCTATCACTTTCAAGCATAAAAACAATGATAGGAACGTAAATGCGGGAGTTAGCAGCTTTAATCTCAAGCAAATTCTTTATCTGAATAATCTGTAGCCATGTAGTAAGCCTTTTCACATAGTTTTTGTTTTACCGAAGACTTAAAAATTTGTTAATACTTAGTTCATAAAATTTGCTTGGCATTTTATTGTAGAATCGCACACCTTGACATCGAAAAGACTTGCTTACTTTTTGTAGTCTAGTGGTTGGTAACACGACACGACAATGGCTGACTATGGTCCATCAACGTCGTGCGCGACTGTCCTGCGGGGTGACAGACGGTGGCGGGGACGAGGTACTCAAGATGTCAGCGGGTAGCGGGTGGTGTAGCGGGGAAGGGACACACTTCTCTTCGTGTGTAGCCGTGTGCTAGAATGACGCTCTACCTCGCCCCTGCCACTGTCTGTCACCCCGCGGGACGGTCGCGCACGAGATTGCTGGTTTATACTACGAATGCTGATAACCTTAAACTCTATCTTAAATAATAAGGAGCTCCATAGCTGGTATTATACGAAGTTTTTTTATGCAATTCAAAGAGATTATACTTACGACAAGCTGGACACTCTTTTGCTATCACCACGGGGTCGTTAACAATCGGGTTAGGGGTTGTACCCCCACCGAGTAGGTTCGATACCCACTCCAGGAATCCTTTCGACGCTTTGTCTTCCGCCACAGAGTTATCCAGTGTCTTGTTCGCGCCGATTTCCGCAGCCTGGCAGCTCACCAAGCAGAAGCACGCCGTCAATATCAACCAGTTCATTTTACTCTGGAAATTATTTTTATGTTCAGCTATAATTAAAACAAATAGTATTAAATGTTAACCCTCTTTGGGTCCATCTTTAGTATTAGAGGAAGCTAATAAAGACATAGCATTTCGGAATAATTAAGAGAAAGCTGCATTATGCATGAATTCTTTTTTTTGTGGTATAACACAAAATCCTATAATCCACCGACAAAAATGTTTCTCTGGAGTTAAAGGTAACAAAGTACGTTTTTAAAATATCTTAAAAAGTAGTAGATTATAAAATTGCATAAACATTTTATTACTTTATAAAACTAGCTGACGGTTTTCCAAAACCCCTGTTTTCTCTGAATTTTTGCCAGGATTCAGTCCAATCGTATTGCTTATTTCTTAAACTTAATCGTATTCCTTATTTCTTAAACTTTAAGTAGTTGTGTATTTTCTGCTTTTGTATTATAAGAGCTTACTAAGCGTACTAGCAGTGCGTTACCTCTTGGTTTAACGCCGTCAAGGTGTGACGTGTACAACGCACTGGTTTACTTGTAACAACATCACTTGATGAGAGCTTATGATAATAAGCTTTTAGTTCGAAAGATGGAAAGCCATTTACCGATGCTAATCAGTAAGCCTTTCTATCTTTCGAACTGTGTACTTGTTAAAAAGTTAACAAAATCTTAAAAGACACAGCGTCACAGTTAGTGTTGTTCTGTAGTTTACTAAAATCCTATACATCCACCGAACGTAACCCGCATCATATAGCAGACCTATACCGAACTAAATGAAATTACTTAAAGATCTCATAAGGGATCGTTAATATTGAATAATGTTTATGGATTAGCGTCAATTTCTAAACAATTCTTAGATAAAATCGCAAGTTTATTGCGCAAGTGAAGGACAAACACATTTTTGTATTTATGTTTATTAAAATACCCACATAATATCGAAAAGAGACAAAACATAAGTACCTACTTTTCATAGTTATTTGTTGGTTGTATTCAATCGATGCTCACCAATGATATTATTAAAAAATCTCTTTAAATATCGTACTCGTAATGGTGACATTCACTTCAGTCTAATTGGCCCGTTGATCAGGTGGTTTCGGACCCTGACTGCTAAGCAAAGATTGTAAGTTCGATTCCCACCCAGGACAAATAAATTATGTGATGACAATCATTTGTTTTGCGCCTGGGTGTACTTTATCTATAATATGTATGTGATTAGAAATATATAAGTATGCTTATCAGGAGTCTAGTTACCATAAGGAAAGTCTCAAAGATGCTAGGAAAAATGAAAGGTAAATTACAGTCTGTTGGATAGATTTAGAAAACGCCTTTGGCTCAGTACGACACGAGCTCATGTTATTTGCCTTGAAATAGAGTAACTTTCCGCGAATGTTTTGTGAAATAGAGGCAGACTACAGTAAATTAAAACTTCTTATTACAGTAAAAGAGGGACATACAAAACCCCTCGAATACAGAGTAGGGATGTTCCGAGATTGCTGCTATCACCAGTAGTATTTAATACAGTTATAAATATATTAATATACAATATCGCAACACATGAAAAGAGGTGGGGCTCCCGGTATAAGGTCAATGGAAAATATACGGAATCCATCTTAGCATTCGCAGACGACCATGCGATCCTCACACGTAACTCGAAGCAGTGCCAAGAACTACTGCGTGAGGTGAATGACTTCTGTACCTGGACGAAGGGAATGAGGACAAAACCTAGCAAATGCTGCCTTTGTCTGGGCCGGCGAGGTACCAGATACACCTCATATGACTCCGGGATTATTATTGGTGGGGAAAGTGTTTTTTTTTTATGTTAGAGGGTTCAATGATATCAGAAACCGTGCCCTTTAAATTTCTTGTCGTAGTCTATTTCTGGTCGTAATCCATCTATGAACGCATTAGTCGCTGATTTCGTAAAAGACATTGACAAGGTAAACCAGCAGCCTAGTAACGTTAAAAAGCTGGGATTTGGACAACTATTTAACATCACGTCTGAACTGGCCGTTTCCGGCCGGTATACGATATAAACCAGAACCACTTAAGAACTAAGACATTGAAGTCGTGGCTCAGGCTAGCAAAATCTGCAGACCCGTCAACGTTGTACAGGGGCTCCGGAGGATATCTGTGCCTCGGCGTCCAGACCAGACATATTTTTTTAATGCTATTACAATTAAGCGTTTACTACTAGTAAAACTTACGGTGCCGTGTTAAACGAACATCACTAAAGACCACGCTTTAAACAGAAACAAGTACTTTGACTTAACCAACGAAATAACTAAACATAGTTATGTCGTTGTGTTGTATGCCGTCAAAGTGGGTGCGAGGGGTATCCCAGCTAAATCCCTATCATCATTACATCAACAGCCTAAAATAGTCCACTGCTGGACGTAGGCCTCTCCTTAGAGAGGAGGTTTTGGCCTACTATACCATGCTGGCCAGACGAGTTGCTATAGGGTTTGTTTCAAGTTTTCCTTCTTTTTGCAGTGCTGTCGTCCTGTGCAGTTTGTTCCCTAAGTCGACTCTTACGACACCTACTCCCACGAAATCCCTCTATAACCTGCTTAAAGACCTTGGATTGCAAAGAGTTTTAGTAAGCTATTTTCTTGAACGCATATCCAAAGCGAGATTGCTAGGCTCGTATCAAATATGGTTAGGTAGATGAAGTAACACAACAGACAGTGGAGGTAAGCGCTGATACGTCGCAAGGAGTACTCCCTAAACCTATACCTGGATCGCATTTCCCAGACCCTGTGAAAGTCGCATGTGTTGCCCCCCCTCTGTCACGCGATGGACCCGGCACCCTGCACGGTGAATCCATGGAACACTAAGAAATAGGTATTTATTATTATTAATTTATTTTTTAAAGTGTATACACAGAAATATGTATACCCAAACTAAAGATAAATTAATACTATATTAAGACAAGTGCTAATACCTCATTATTTTTTTCTCAATGCCCACACAAGTAGTAAACCGAGACTAATTCTAATGCGAGTAGACATAATATAGAACTACCTACAATGAGCGAGAATCGAACCCCTGATAATGTTTCACCGCCATAGGAAAGAGGTGGTCAAAATTTGAATAGATACACAAAAAATATCAATTATGGTAAGATCATTTCTGACCTCAATACAATCAAAGATGCAAAATATATTACAAGTATCTAAAATTGCGGCTTTTACGGTGTAACTACATCGTAAAATATTACAATCAAGTTTTTGACACGATTGCGGTGTCAATATCTTAACAGAAAATCAAGGACATGTCTTAAACGAAACCATGTCAAAAAACCTGCTTCCACCATTAGCTGCGAATATACCGCTATACGTAAATAATGTATCAAGTCGGATGTTTATTAAAGCTAAGAATTTTTAATTACCCCTTTTGAAGACGATGGATTGTAAAACCACGAGGCCTTTGTTTGTATAAAGGAAGCGATTTCCAAACCAAATTCATTTAAACCGCATTCAATTTACACAAAATATAGTAATTAGACTGATAATCAAGCTCATTATTTCTTTAGAAAGATGACTGCCACAGAGGACGATACAAAAATAATATTAATAAATGCAAAATTCACATGTGGTATGGCTACTATGTCTGTGTAAGTCTTGATAGAATCAGAACAAATGTCTATCTTAACCGTGATGAAAATAAGGACAAAATAAATGTTTATTGGCGCGTCCATAAACATTCTTCATTAGCGTTTGGCGTGTTTAGAAATCTACCTAGTACAATGTTCGGAACGGTTATAAATTATCTGCAGAATAGTAAGTGACAGAATAAAATTTAAATTTTCCTATTGGTATGCGCGGTGTGTCACGATTGCTAGTCCCGGCTTTAACAGGAGAGAGCTGGCCGTTTTCCTGCTCCCAAGAATTAGTTACAAATGAAAGTGGTTTTGTATAAGTTTTCTAAATGTTCCTTGTAGTAATGTAATCTAAAAAATAACATATTTAATAAAGTATAATTGTTTGGATAAAAATATGTCCAGAAGTTTCCCAATCAACATTTTGTCAAACGAGTTCTTTATTATTTAAAAAAATGTTATTCTTTTTATTCTGTTGTCTTTGTTACAAGGGTCTGAAAAAGAAAAGTACAAGGTTGTTTTTCTTCTGGTCAAGAAATAGACCTTTTGATTAGACAGAAAATCAAAGTTATGAATTGTCTGGTCAGGTTAAATGATTTCTAGTTGTCAAAATCGTATTCTGAATTTATCACGTGGGTCATATTAAATGGAATTATTAAAGTCAAACCTAATTAAAATAAAATATTATAAAAGTTGATGCCTTTTAGTACAAAAAATGACAGTACCATCAGATAAAGAAACAAAGATTAAATCTTTATTTGACAAATAATATCTGATACCTTAGTCGTATAAGGTCATGGACAGCAGTCAGTATTCTATAACTTAATCTCATTATATTCCATTTTTAAATATTTACGTTTGTACTATTCTAAACAGACACCGGTTAAATATTTTTTCACTTTTTTTTGTAAAAAGCGGTTTTATACTTAGTATTGCACCTACCGTGACAGACCACAACACTTCACCGCACTCTTAAACACAGATAGAACAAGGTTATAACGAAATAGGAACTTACAGGGAGTGTCGCCGTACAAGGAGGAGGACGACTGACAACGACTCGCCTGTTTGTGAACACAGTACAGATGTGAGCCAGCCAGCGCTCGGTCAGCCAACACTTTCTCCAGCAACGCTCCACTTAGTCCTGCTGACCGTATGAACTCCTAAACCCGCACACCAACTTATAACTAACCCGACAACATCGTCATAAATTCCACAATACGCTTTAATGGAATTATTATCTGTTCTTGGTATAATTAGGCTTGATTTGCGTATTATGTGGGATAGTAATAAATGCCTTGTAAATGCCTAAATGATTATAACAAGTATTCAAATATGCTTAGATTATGATTTTCATCAACGCCTTTAAACCGATGATCAATCTCGCATTTAATATCAGCTATATTTATTGTCGTCGATATTAAAACATATCACTGTTCATTAAAAATAAATAAATAAATAAAAGACATTATAATGACTTTATTAACCGGTAGCGCCACGCCGGTGCGCCTGGTGTGATCATTACTAACACATTCAATGATGACAAACCTGAAAGATGTAATAAAAATAACAAATGGCCTCTCCATTAACAAGGACTTGATTTTTTAATTAGTAGACAAACCGTAGTAATGGCAAATAGTCATTGTCAAAAGAAAACGAATTTTCTCATACTTTAAACCAAATTATTCGACTCCACTTTCGACCCAATTTACGAAGTTTATGTAACACTAATAGTAACGTACGTGTAACTACGTACGTGAAACTCTGACGGCTAAAGAACGCGGGCAGACGACTTAATCAAAAATGTGCTCAAAATCTGAGGATGATTCTCCGGTTCGCGAATTCAATTCAAAATAAACCTTTGAGTCTGACCCAGAGCATCATTGGGCCCACGTGATGGGCCTGTTGGTCTAGTAGTAGTAGTAAATATTGTGTGATGAGCACTGTCATTTGTTCTGTGTCTGGGTGTAATACTATGATATGTATATATTTAAATATATATATATAAGTATGTTTATCAGCAGTCTGGTTACCATAGTACAGGTTCTGCCTAGTTTGGGATGTGTAAAAAAAAAAAAACGTGTAACCCTGACCGGCCATGGCAGCAATAAGGATCTATGTGGTAGAAAATTTCTTATTGGATTACCTTGATGAAGTTCAATAGCACCATGGCTAATAAGATGGTGGCGAAAGTCATCGGGCTAGAGAGGGCCAGTGCAGTACATGTTTCGTGCCTGCTTCTTGATGTGATTGGGAGAACACTAAAAATAAACGGTTGGAAATGAAGGCTTATTTGTTAGTAAGTTTGAATGCCATATTCCTAATTGTACAGTTCTGATCTCGGCGATATGATATGTACCCCGAGTATACCGTTTATACTGCCCCTGCCCCTCGTTAAATAAAGACTGTTATCATAAAAGAAGGGCGTTACATTTCATCTAAATGAAATAATCAATATACTATATTATGTATCCAACAAATCAGGTATTAGAATACCTGTTTCGTCCATGCAGGAATGGACGATTTCACACCCTAACCGATGTCATTGGTACCTATTTTTTGATTTTGTATTTGTATTATTGTATTCATGAATTAGATGTAAGTCTAAATACGAACACAAAAGACAAAAAAAAAAGAATTTAACCATGAAGTTCTGCCAACGTGATGCATTGCGTGTCGAATTTCGATTTTCTGTTTTCTCATGTATATTCATAACTGCGCTGAACGCTGAATGATGCAGTTTTACGTATATTTTCCCCTTAAAACATTAGTATGTTGTGATATCATTCTATACAGGTATTATTTGCAGTGTTCACTATCACTAATTTAAAGGTCGGTTATCGAATATGAGTTATGTTATGACATTCTTGACATGTTAGAGGTGGCAGACTAGCAGACGGGTCACCTGATGGAAAGTGACTATCGCCGCCCATGAACGTCTGCAACTCAGGAGTCACAAACGCGTTGCCGGCCTTTTAGGAAGGAGTACGCTCTTTAACGCTCGAAATACCGCAGACGATAACCCGTTCCACAGATTAGTTGTGCGGGGTTTTCGTGTTTAAGGTAAAAGTTACCGCCGCGGTATGTTGGTTATATATCGTAAAAAGAAGGCCTTGTCCTTCCTCAAGAGTCAGAGTATCGCCATTCTAAATTTCATTAAAATCTGTTCAGTTGTTTAACCGTGAACATAACAGACCGTCAGAGTCATTTTCGTATTTATAATTTTACGTTGTGATTAATGATAATTTAAAAAATTGCGGTCGTTCTCTCTATTTTTTATTTATTTTCATATAAATATTGCCCATTCAATATTATTGAACATAATGTAACAATTACTTACAGGCAGGGACAGCGTATAATAATATTACAGAAAACAAAAATCTTTTCTTTTATCTTTTAAAAAACACAACGCCCGCATTATGAATATATCCTTTTTTTTTAAATTTGTGGATCACACAAAGTGTTGTCCCATGTGGGGATCGGACCCACAACACTCAACGTAGTAGTAAGCGGCGTGGCGACCGCTTTAACCACTACGCCATCCGTGCAGCAAAGAACAGACTAAACCAACAATTTCTGAAGTGATGTATTAATTTAACATAAAGGGCAAGAGCTTAAAATCGATTTATTATTGTTTAATGAATCAAAGTAAATATATCAACTATATCGCTACAGCCATTTAACATCTTCACCGTCTAGCACATGCAGAATTGGCACCCAGAACAGTGCTTCTTAATAGAGGACACAGGTATGAAATGGGTTACCGCGGAAGCCCCCAAGGTACTCGAAATTTAAAAAGAAATTAAAAAAAAAAACAACGACTCCATTCCACTGTTGTTGTTTGTTTTGTAAAAAGTAGTAAATACTGTATAGATAAGAATTAATCTCATTTTGTTTAAACCCGTACTAAATCAGCTGCGATGTGTAACTTTTCAACCTATCATAAATAAAAAGATTCTTCCAGTTCTTGCGAATTCTTCATTTTATCAGTTAGGAGTTATTGTCACATTGTCACGGTACATATAATCTGTATTTAATAATCAATTTTAGCAAATTTTAATCCACAGTGAAGCGTAGACTGTGTCAGAACGCCTATTACTCGATTGTGGATTACATGGAAGAGAAGAATGCTTGAATGCTTGAAATTATGTAGCACAGGCTATTTTTTAAGTAAGTGGGCTAGTGTTTATTTGTATATAGTTTCTATTCATTTTTTTTCTATTTTTTATGTTTTACTCCTCTTTCAAATTCTATTCCATCAGTTTTCTTTATTTTCGTTTTCTCTTTATTGCTTTTACCTTTTAGTCCTTAATAGCTGACATACTGGCATGCATCAAAAAAAAAATTATAATATTTTTAATGATGCGATTGTATCTAAGTAGCTGTAATTAAAAAAGAGTAGCCGTGAATTTGTTTGCCCTTTCTTCTCATAAGGCTCAACCCCTTGGAAACGGGCGGTACTAAATCGGCACATTCATATAATGGATTGACTTTATTTTGCTAAATACTTGACAAAACAGAGATTGTTGTTATTGTGTATGTTGATCTATGACTTTGGATGGTTAAAAACGATTTCGAAAATATATTTTTATTTCTCTTTGGTCATTAATAAAACTAAACACCTCATAAAGACCTGTTTTAATATGACTAAACTGTATTTAGTTATTATGTTTAAGGAACCTGTCTTAATGTAACTAAACCATAACTCGAAGCCTATATGTACAATTTATAGTATAAACAATATTAATAATGTATATTAATATTGTTTATACTATAAATATTGTATTAATATTTTATTTTTATTTATTTTATTATATTTGGGGAGCTTACGGCTAAATTTACAAAATACATATTATGTTAATTATCTAGATGCCATTTACAAGCTTCCACATGTAGACAGAAGACAGTGCTGGTATCTATAATAATACATACTAAATAGACTTACACATACATAGATAGTTACAACAGTTTAGGATCTAAAGATATTGTTTACTAAATACTTATTAATATTGTTTACTACATATAGGCTTCGAGTTATGGTTTAGTTACATTAAGACAGGTTATCGCCTTATAGCGCCTATCACATTTATAATAATGATTCCCATGTGTGCAATTTGCAAAAAAAAACGATCAGGCGTTATAAAATAGTAGTACTCAGATACCGAGACCTACATCTTCCTAAACATTGGAAGTTATAATGCGAACTCTTTTCCTACAGGCTCTTTTATGGTTTTTATAGAAATTTATATGTTTGGGTTGACTGACAGACAAGCAAACTCTGCAAGGACCACAGCACTGCAAAGAAAAGGAAAACTGGAAACAAACCCTTTTTTTTGTTTTTCAGTAGGCCATAACCTCGTTTCTAAGGTGAAGCCTATAATCCAGCAGTGGATTATTAGAGGCTGTCGATGTGATGTGTACCTAATGTGAAGCAGACAGGTCACTCGATGGTAAGTGGCTACCGCCGCCGATGGACTTCATCTCAGGAGTCACAAGTCAAGTCAAAATAGCACTCTTATAATAGCGCCTATCACATTTATAATGAGAGAATTACGACAGGGGAGTTATTGGTCCTCCTGCGACCTCACCCACTCGGTGAAAAGCTAAAAAAGAATTGTTTAACACCAATTTTTATGTGAGCCCTTAGTATCACTCCATTCGAGCCGATTCATATGTGCGCCAAGCATGGCTCTTCTATGAATGATTAAGGTAAGGTAAAACGACCGATTGGCGTAGTGGTTTGTGTAACGGACTGCTATTCCAAAGGTCGCGGGTTCGATTCCCGCTCAAGTCAAGCATTTGTGTGCATGAACATTTAATGTTTGATTTGGTCTGGGTGTTTCTATGTATAATATGTACGTATTTACAAAAAAAAAGTATATCTGTATTTATATCAGTTGTCTAGTACCCATAGTACAAGCTCTGCTTAGTTTGGGACTAGATGGCGTTGTGTGATTGTGGTAGAATATTATTGTTATTATTATTAACCTGCAGTTTTAGGTAATTTTTATTAAACAAAATCAATTTCATGATGCAGAATTATCTAGGATTAAGGTAAGGAGAACCATCTCTGTGTATGAAAGGTCCGTAAAAACGTGTCCAATAAGGGATAAATTTTAATGTAATTAGAATAAGATAGACTAATAAAATCACGTAAATAATTGAGGTTATTTTATATATTTTACCGACTACTCTAGTCAAACTTTGGTCATGAATTTTTTTAAATGTTTGATCTCAGCACACTTTACTCTGTCTATAACAGCTATGTTCATATCGTAGTTTTTCTCACGCCAGCGACCTCTATTTTAAATATACAGCTATTTATATAGCATTATACAGTATTGTATACTGTATAATGCTTTACCATATATGAGATGGTTCTCCTTGGCTCTACAATCCTTATGCAGAATTCACAAAATCTCAGCAGTTACCGACAAATCTCCTAATTTGACATGAACGGTAACAATTAGTATTACCATATCAAAATCAGTTTTTTTTTATACCATAAAAGCAAAAAAAAAGTGTCCTCTCTACAATATATAATATAATAAAATATCAAGCTTACCGTTATCCATTGTCCAGAACGTAACGTTTTACCAAATAAATGAATCGTGTGAAATAAAAATGTAAAAAGCTTCGTTTACAGAAACAATACGGTAACTCATGAACGTTACTGCAATTTTTTTTCATTCAAATGTCGGGGCAATAAAAATTAGCTTACCTTCTACCTTAAGAGATTTAGTGCCCACAGACTACATTGTAATTAGGACTGACACGGGCCTGATTCGGTATGACCAAATATTTTTCTTTTTTTAAGACCAGTCAGTGTGTTCCATACTTCATGAAACATGAAAGAAAAATTATTATTTATTTATAATAACAGAAAAAACTGATAATGGATGCTCTGGGGAACAATAAATCCCGGTATAAATAAATCAGAACAATGAAACACAGATACCTTAAAAATTTCGGCAATCTTAGAATGCTAACATAGTAGAATAATTAAAAGACAATTAAATACTTTTTAGAATTAAATTAAAGGCAATTAAATAAATAGATAAAAATTACAAAAAGAAAATCAATTCCATTTTAAAACAAAAATAAAAAATATATTTTCTACAACTTAAAAATTTTAGTACTTTATGTTATCTCCACGTTTATTATGGTACA